GCCCACATTACCCAGGACCTTCTTCTTACCCCCTATGTATTTAAAAAAGGACTTCTTATTGTCTTTAATCTGGGAAGCTAGTCCCAGTTCCATCTCTGCCTTGGCCTTCCTAACTACCCCCCTACATCCCTGAGCAACTGCAGAATAGCCCTCCCTGGTGATGACCCCTTCTTTCCATTGGGTGTAAGCCTCCTTTTTAGCAAGGAGATATTCCTGGATGCTTTTGGTGAGCCATGGAGGCTTGTGTGCTCTCCTGCTCCCTTTGATCCTCGTTGGGATTACCTTCCTTTGGGCTTGGAGGATCGTCTCCTTAAGGAGCGACCACTCTTCTTGGACGCCTGGCTCCCCTCCCCTCCGGGACCTCAGCGCTTCTCCAACTATCCTCCTTAGCTCGTTGAAGTTTGCCCTCCTAAAATCTAGGGCTGCTGCCTTACTGCATGGCTTTGCCACCAAGATGTTAAGTAATGATTGCAGGTAACAAATTATTACCATGGGATGCGCTGGCATTACTGGTATGCATGCATAAGGATTACTGTCATAAATGTGGCCTGCAAAATCAGTTCCTACCTTCCTTTTAGGATTCCTTCTTTATGCGTTGAGGCTCAATGGCGATTTTTAGCCACCACTTTTAAACCTTTTCTGTGCTTACTTGAAATGTGAAAGTGATTAAGGGACTAGCCTGGGACTTCAGAGAAATAGGCTCAATTCCCTGCTCCCCTAACAGATTTCCTGTACAACTTCAGACAATAAACATGGGGATAGCAGTACTTCACAAACTTTACAGGGGTAGAAATAAACGCATTTAAGATTGAGGGGCACTCGGACTCCATGGTAATAATGTTCATCTCAATTCAAGTGAGAGAACTTGAAATATAATTTATATTTCTCAAGTAAACATTTTACTGAGGACAATGGGTTGGTCTTGAAATTCAGAGATTTCTCTACTCTCTTTAAAAAAAGAATTCAGCAAGTTTCTACAAACTTGCATAGGGGCTGGGACTTCTCTTTGCTTTCTGCAAAAAAAACCAAAACACTCCCCCACCCTCTGGAAGCCTTGAGATGTTTTAAAAGAGAAACGTTAGCACTCTGAACAAGTGCCTTGAGTGATCTGCTAGAGAAAGAGCAAGGCTTTTTAGATCTTGTAATACAAATTTCTAACCTGCATTGCAGCACTGATTGAGTGACTACTCTCTGCCTGGACTTGCGTTTTTTCTTCATAATTTGGCCACTGATTCTGAGCAGGACCCATTCGATCTTGAGACTTGGAAGCTGGGAATGTGAAATATTCTCTGGTGTAGGTTTGTGTGGGGATAGGATAAGCTTCGGGTCTTGGTGGCGGTGTCTGTTCCTGTAAAAGGTAGAGGACAAACTACATTTTATCAATTCTGTACACAATGATTTTAACTTGCAATTTTTAAAAAGCAAATTTTCTAAACGTGGCTTTCAATTTCATCTTAAGCTAAATGAATACAGGCCTAAAATTAGTCTAAAATGAAATATGCTGTAAGTTTTGACTCATGCATGGCTTGTGCACTCTGAAATCAAGTACACACCACTTATTGCATACATTTAGTTCTAACAAACAAGTCTGAATAGTAATGCTACGACAAAAACTTGGTGATAGTCTTCAGTAGTGCGCCAATAATATAATCTCGTTAAGTAACACTGAAAAAGAATAAATACAAATCACTGTTCAGTGACATTCAGTTAACATTCTTCACTGAAACTTCTGCTTAACTCAAGCACAGTACTTCTATTGATATTTAAAGGATGTTAACAGCCAATCTTTTGTTTGCCACTTCTGACCTCTGTACAAAGATTTCCAGTAGAGACTGAAGTTATCTTGGTGGTTGTTCCAGAAGCATAAGCATTCTTTCCTCCAGGACTGGGAGGCTGATCTATTGAAGAGTTAAAGAAGGCATTGTTAAATGAAAATCAGTAGCAAGCATTTACATCATATTTAATAAGATATCAGCCAATGAAAATTCAGCAATAATAATGCTGCAATGAAATTTAGTTTCACTTTTACTAAAATTACCCTCACTACTGTTATGACAGTGTCAGTATTTTAAGTAAATCATTTTAACCATTCACATCTCTCCCTCTTTTTAGGGGAAGAAAACTGCAAGAAAAATAAATGTTCAGTAGAATAATAAAACGTTTAGACTTTTGCTTACTTGCCACATTCGGACTGGAGCGGTGATCAGCTCGATTCTTCATTAATCTGTCGTCCCCTGGAAGCTTCTTTGGTTCATTGTACTCTGTCCAAGGCAGCTGAGGGCTCTCAGGTGACCCATTTTGAGCAGAGTTATTATACAGCTCAAAACCTTCACTCTTTGGTCGGGGTTTACCTGCGCCACGCCGGTCAGAAACTGCAACAGGTTAGGATCTGTACATTATTTTCCTCCCATTCCATCTGCACAATCACCACCCAGTTTATTCCTTTACAAAACACTGGACCTTACAGCAAAACGGATGCTGATATGAAAAGCATAAGTTTTTCAGCTACACAATCCCACTCTTGTGTTGACAGCATAACATTCTTTTGATTCACAGGCTTCCAGAAGGATTTTGCAACAGACACCACAAAATTTGGCAAAGCCAGATGCAACTTTTACTGAAAGAAATCTCTAGATTAATCTGAAAGGCATATGGTGTCTGAAGCAGTGCTGTAAGCTGGGGTAATAAGGGTTTATTCTTTTAACCCCTTCCTTTCTATGCAATTCTACTCAACTTTGGAAAGCTCCCAACATGTACTGTATTATTCACATAAAAGTTCTATAAAATTGTCACTAAGTCATGAAAACACTGACTCTCAAAGGAATCCCCATCATATTGGGGAGAAAAAAGGCAATCATAAAAGCAAGAGAGACTAGATACAGAAAATTAAGAACAGCCATTTCAAAGGCTTCTGAGTTTGGAAAAACAAAGACCAAATATGGTACAATGGCTTCTGACTTGCTTTTCTTTTCTTTTTTTTCTTTAAACTAGATATGACAAGTATTACCACTTCTTCTGCAAGCAGTATTTTTTCAAGGAGGGATTTTTTATTTTATTTTATTTTATTTTTTTTAAAGGGAAGAAAAAAAATTCCCTGAATTGTAGGCCTCTCCGTTTATTTAGAGCAAATCCCTCCAAGATGGATCTATGCTTAAATAACTTGCGAAAGTCGAATTTCAACTTCTTTAAGGATAATGCACTTACTTACTATTAGACATATAACTAATATAATATTCTATGCAGTGTGTAAAAATAAGCTGAATCTTCTGGAAGAATAGGTACGTTTCCTGTCCATGGCTTTTGTGACTTACCAAAAGAAGGGCATTTATGTATTTTCTCTCTCTTACCCAACCTTCCTAAAAATACCCAATTTCTCAGTCTTGCCCACAGAAACCTTTGTGCACCTTTGGATGAGCTAAATTTAATACATAATACGTACACTGCATCTGGAAGATGCCTTTTTTCTTTTTACATTATCCCACTTTCTGAATGGGGACAGATTATTTCTTCATTTCATGAACGTGCTTAAAATTTCTTTAGGGTATCAATTCAAGCAAGCATATGACCACCACGTGATACTAAACTATATGGTTAAAACATGTGCTCAGGTGATTTCCAGAACTGGGACAGAAGAGATGAAATTACATAGTTGGTAATCCTACATGCTAATTCAAAAGACACTAGCATTAATAATCGTTTACCTCTCTGCATCATTGGGGATGGTTGGTTAAGCAGGGTTGCCAGACCATGATAAATTGCTCCTTGCTTTGCTACTTCCAGGGTCACTACAGAACCTGTTCTTGTCATGAGTTCTGCTGCCCTGTGATAAGAGTCAAGAAGAACTAAGCACAATGCCATTTAAATTAGTACCTCTCTATACAATCCTTTCTATGCCACTACTACTACAGGTACTATTCAACAATGTTCTTTCCACACCCTCAGCTTTGTACTTAAAAGCACTGATTCTTCCTGGGAGATTAGAAAAGAGTACCAAATGGATTTAAGAATATAAAAAGAGCAATTATATAGACAGTTACCAATCTTAAATTTCAGCAGTGCATACCAAATGCCAAAATACTTAAAAATTTAGAACTAGAATCTAGAACTAGAAATTTGCTTAAAACCTCTATTCCAACTTAAGACTCAAAACTCCAAGAACAGCATTTTTTCCTCGTATAGATCCCTTTATTACAGCTATGGCAATACTCATCTAAAACTATGGAAGGAATTCAGTGGTAGGCCTTTATCACTGAAGATGCATACAATACATTTAATAAGACAATAGATAGAGAGAAATATCCCAAAATCCAACTCTCATTTCTTTCATTACACTGCCAAAGCTCTTACTCACTGTGGTCTATAATATACCGGTATTGACTTCCTCTACACACACCTGATAAAAAGTATACTGTACCTTTCTTGGGACAGCCCCACCAAACTTCTACCATCCACACTGAGCAGTTGATCCCCTGCTGCCAGGCGACCATCCTAAGTACAAGTTGAGGAAAGAAAACATTCTTTAAACCTATATGAAAGTATTGGTATGTAATCAAGATAAATATCAATACATTTTAACAACCAAATAAAGAATTAAAAACATTTCTATTAGAGCGACCTCTCCATTAGACATTTTCATATTTTAACAGTTTTAATATTTATAAACTTTACTAACCACATCTGCAGCACCTCCTTTTACAACAGATTTGACATAGATTCCAAGTTTATCTTGACCTGCGCCCTGCAGAAAGAAAGATATTTCTCAGTGGTTACACTTAAATCACTTCTCCTGTAAGCTAACTTTCCATGAATCTGAATCACGGTATGCCCGATACTGGTTTCTCAATGGCTTTACACATCCCCAAGTTACCCAAAAAAACAGCTGACTGCAATATAGAAGAGGTTCACATCTTTTAGATACCAAGAAGAGAAAAAGGTGTTAATTATAGGATTTTTTGAAAAACAGTCAAGACAAAAGATACTTGGTTCCATGACAAACAAAGCAACAACACCAAAAAAGACCCACTGAGTTTTGTTTAATATTTATTTTATTCCTTAATGAAAAAATCCTCATTTGTCATTTTAGAGGCAAGTTGTATCCTTGCTGTAGCCTTAAGATCATGTGGCACATCAGAATGTTACACTGCTCATACGGTAATGAAACAGAGGCCAGACAGGAGTTGTTCACGTGTTCCAGCCCTGACTGGAGAGGTAGATAGGTAAGGTGTCCAGCCAGGGGCACTAGAGAGCTGCTCCCTGGGCCATAGAGCTTTACATCGATAGCCTGTCCTTTAGCTTGCCCAGGAAGGGGACAGGATGTCAATAGGAAGTCACCTGAGTCACCTGGCTTTAAAAAAAAATTGCTATGCATAAAGACTGGGATCCCAGGCTGAGCAGGCAGAGAGCAAGGATTAGCTGATCCTCTGCTCGTAGTTACTGGAAGCAGAGAGGAGCAGCAGCTGGGGAACTCATTCTCTACCTGGCAGTCTCAGACTAGAGTTTTACCTGGCTGCTCCAGTCCCCTCCCAGACTGGTTTAGGAGGGGAGGGGAGCAGTGAGGGCAAATCTCCTAGCCTGTTCCCTAAACTGGGCAGTCCCCAACCTGGGGAAGAAGCAGGCAACATTGCCCCACTGATCCCCCCCTCCAGACCAGACCTACAAGCATTCATTCTTGCAAGACAGTTTCTCTTGCAAGGGAAATCTTCCAGATTTGACACCTGGAAGATAGATTTCTCCCCCAGAAAGGACATGATTCCCTGGGGGAGAAATTGAAGGTGCTTGTCACTGCTGGGAGAACAGCAATTCTCCTGGTAGAAATCCAATGCTTTTACATGGCCAGAGGATAGCTGGTGATTTATTTAACCTTGAGGGGACATAAAGAAAAAACATTCTTTGGGACTAGGGCCTGCCTTTTCTCATGCATCTGTGAAGGACCCAGCAAAGAAAGATGTGACCACTTGATGATAATGTAACAAAAATAAATAAAACAATGACGACCAGGGATCCGAGTTTTCCATTTCCCAAGGAAAACCCCCCACAGATTTTCTCTTTTACCTGAGAAAAATGCAGATTTTTCTCAGTTACAAGGGAACTCTGCCAGCCTGCAAAGAGCTCTCTACAGGCAGGCAATGTTCCAGCCTGCAAGGGGCTGGGGGGGGAGTGACAGGGGGAGGCCAAGCAGGAGATTTTACACACACACACACACACACACACACACACACACACACACACACA